TCCTTGTTGATGACTGACAACAGTACATGATGGTGTACCAGAGTGTTGTGTCCTTGTTGATGACTGACAACAGTACATGATGGTGTACCAGAGTGTTGTGTCCTTGTTGATGACTGACAACAGTACATGATGGTGTACCAGAGTGTTGTGTCCTTGTTGATGACTGACAACAGTACATGATGGTGTACCAGAGTGTTGTGTCCTTGTTGATGACTGACAACAGTACATGATGGTGTACCAGAGTGTTGTGTCCTTGTTGATGACTGACAACAGTACATGATGGTGTACCAGAGTGTTGTGTCCTTGTTGATGACTGACAACAGTACATGATGGTGTACCAGAGTGTTGTGTCCTTGTTGATGACTGACAACAGTACATGATGGTGTACCAGAGTGTTGTGTCCTTGTTGATGACTGACAACAGTACATGATGGTGTACCAGAGTGTTGTGTCCTTGTTGATGACTGACAACAGTACATGATGGTGTACCAGAGTGTTGTGTCCTTGTTGATGACTGACAACAGTACATGATGGTGTACCAGAGTGTTGTGTCCTTGTTGATGACTGACAACAGTACATGATGGTGTACCAGAGTGTTGTGTCCTTGTTGATGACTGACAACAGTACATGATGGTGTACCAGAGTGTTGTGTCCTTGTTGATGACTGACAACAGTACATGATGGTGTACCAGAGTGTTGTGTCCTTGTTGATGACTGACAACAGTACATGATGGTGTACCAGAGTGTTGTGTCCTTGTTGATGACTGACAACAGTACATGATGGTGTACCAGAGTGTTGTGTCCTTGTTGATGACTGACAACAGTACATGATGGTGTACCAGAGTGTTGTGTCCTTGTTGATGACTGACAACAGTACATGATGGTGTACCAGAGTGTTGTGTCCTTGTTGATGACTGACAACAGTACATGATGGTGTACCAGAGTGTTGTGTCCTTGTTGATGACTGACAACAGTACATGATGGTGTACCAGAGTGTTGTGTCCTTGTTGATGACTGACAACAGTACATGATGGTGTACCAGAGTGTTGTGTCCTTGTTGATGACTGACAACAGTACATGATGGTGTACCAGAGTGTTGTGTCCTTGTTGATGACTGACAACAGTACATGATGGTGTACCAGAGTGTTGTGTCCTTGTTGATGACTGACAACAGTACATGATGGTGTACCAGAGTGTTGTGTCCTTGTTGATGACTGACAACAGTACATGATGGTGTACCAGAGTGTTGTGTCCTTGTTGATGACTGACAACAGTACATGATGGTGAACCAGAGTGTTCTGTCCTTGTTGACAACTGTACATGATGGTGTACCAGAGTGTTCTGTCCTTGTTGACAACTGTACATGGGGGTTACTAGATTGTTATGTCCTTTGTTAACATCTGTGCATTATTATGAGATATATTATCTGTGTCTTAGGTGACAACTGTACATGGTACACCATTGATTTTCCCTATGTTGTATACAGAAACTTGAACCTGATTTCAAGGCTGTAATGATGTAGATATACAAGAGAGGGATTGCAGACCCCCTGGGATATCTCTACTGAAACTGATTAGCAAAAGAGGTGGGAAAGTGGAAAGTAAATATATCCCCTGTTATTTTTCTCGCTCACTCTGATCCACTTTCCTTGCTTATAATCAAAAGTTAAAAAGATAAAGGATCTGTGTGATCTTATCTAGAGAAAATCTGTATTGTAACTGTGTTTTAATATGGTGATGTATTGCAAAATTCACAATGGAAAATTAAATTGTAGACATTGTGAATGTGCCAATAATTGGAAATATATGTCGCCATAATGGTTTAAATGTGGCTTCAGGCATGCAGATTTTCTATTCAGGCATGTAGATTTTCTATTCAGGCAGTGAATAAATCAATATAAAAAAGGCGTCATTCCTTCACTAAAGGATCCTGAGACTCTTGTTTCTAGAATTTTGAATTTATGACGTTTTTTTCAGTTTTTTTTAATAATTTTGATCTTTTGCAATTCTTATTATAAATTTCAAACTAGGGGGAGATAAGCTTGTGGAAAAAGGCAGCTTGGAAATTCTTTGAAAACTTAGGGTCCAGTACCCAATCTTAACTCCCAAAGTGTATAATGGATTTCTTTCAACTGAACTTTGACAACAACTTATTTTTCAAATGAACATGTGCATTTGTGATTGTCATGTTTCAACTGCTTTTCAAAGAGTTATGGCCCTTTATGTAACTATCTTGTTCATGAGTACACATCCTCCTTCATATTGATGACATAGTGCCATTTTATTTCATTTGGTTCTATTTGGCCTAATGATTGCTGCATTAATGCAATCTTATTACCCTTGGGTGCCAAATATTATGTATAAGAGTCAAGCAGGGATGGTGTTGGGTGAGGGTAGGGGTCTGTTGGCAGTTGTCTTACAGAGGTATCAGTATAGCAGATATTACTTGCAGAAGTGTGTGTAAAGCAGGTGTTTTATTACAGATGTGACAGTTTTGCAGGTATTTCTTACAGAGGTATCAGTATATCAGGTGTCTTCTTACAGAGGTGTCAGTATAACAGGTGTTTTATTATAGATATGGATGTATAGAAGGTATTTCTTACAGAGGTATCTGCATATCAGGTGTTTTAATACAGAGGTGTTAGAATAGAAGGTATTTATTACAGAGGTGTTCATATAGCAGGGGTCCTCTTTACAAACATATCTACTAGTGTAGTGGGTCACCTTTTATTAAGTGTCAGTGTAACTGTGGAACTACTTTACAGAGATGTCAGTTTGGTATCAGGTGTCAGTATAGCATGTTTCCTCTTTACAGAGGTGTTAAGAAAGAAGTTGATCTTTTTACCTAGGAGTCAGTATAGAAGTTGACCTCTTAACTGAGGTGCAAGTATAGAAGTTGACCTTTTTACAAAAGTGTCAGTTTAGAAGTTGACCTTTTTACAGGGGTGTCAGTATATAAGTTGACCATTTTACTTAGGTGACAGTATAAAAGTTGACCTATTTACAGAGGTGACAGTATAGAAGTAGATCTTTTTACTGAGGTGTCAGTTTAGAGGTTGACCTTTTGTCAGTATATAATAAAAGTTGACCTTTTTACTGAGGTGTCAGTGTAGAAGTTGACCTTTTTATTGAGGTGTTTGAATAGAAGTTGACCTTTTTATTGAGGTGTCTGCATAGAAGTTGACCTGTTAACTGAGGTGTCAATTTAGAAGTTGATCTTTTTACAGAGGTGTCTGTTTAGAAAATGACCTTTTGACTGAGTTGTCAGTATAGAAATTGACCTCTTTACAGAGGTGTGAGTATGGCAGTAATGTAGCTCTTTAACTATGAGTATATTTCTTCTGTTATTTTTAGTTCGGTGTTATTCAAGAAGTTTGTTTCTGTCAAGTTTATCCTCCAAATAAACAGATGTATTGAGTTATTTTCATTGTAAAGGATTCTTCAGAACCTGCAGGATTTTGTGGATATGTATATTTATAATCTCATGAATTGTGTTTCTTCTGAAAAAAAATGATGAAGGTATGTCATCAATTTACATACAAGATAAGCTGATTTTTTCTCCCGCTGTTAAAAAAGCCTGTATTTATGCTGCAAAAGATAATTTGTAGCGTATGTAATGCGTAATGTTTAGCTGGGTAGGGGAGCTGGTACCCTGTTATGTATTGCAGGTTGGTATAATGTACAGCACCCTCCAATACACATCTGCCAGTAATTAGTGTAAGCTACACCACTATAATCACCCAGGACAGCCAACACTGGGGATGTAAATAGAATAACAGTTCCAGCATCCTCCTCACTGGATGCCTTTCCAATGTTAGGCCGTGTACATGTGCATAGCGTGTGTCTAGAGAGTCTTGTACTCATTGCACATATAGCTCAGGTATGTCAGTAGTAGTATATCATATACCGCACTCAAAGGTAACGTATATATACATATAGAAAGTATATACATACATGTCTCGATTTATATAATTCATGTTTCTGATATGTCATATATAGACTTGTAATATATTTTTCATATTTTACATGTACATGTATATCTATTACAATTATCATTTCATATGTAATGTAATATAAAGCACGCTATTATCAGTGTATAATATAGTATATAATATGCATATTATTTGATGTGGTAGCATATATACAAACTGTGATGTTATATTATACAATTATAGACTGTGACAGAGGTCAATACATGGATATATATATCTCCAAAATGGAGTATTGACCGAGTATCCAGTCAGAGGTCATTACAGTTTTCTGTGTTTATAGTCATGGTATCCACGAAGGCTAAAGCGTACAAATGTTTTATTAATTTTGGCAGTAAAACACAGTTTCTACAGGTCAAAATTTCATTTGATTGCAATTATGATTCTATTTTTAACATGTAATTGTATAAAAAGCAATTTTAACTTGGATCAAGGTTAATATGTTCATCTGGCCCCAAAAAACCAAGTGTTTCAATTTAAAACAAATGAAAACAATAGTGGCCTTTAACTTTACTTAATAAATGAAATTTAAAAAACAAAAGAAAATAATTATGACCTCAGACTGTGTACTAAATCTACATAATTTTTTTTGATTTGAAATTGATGTATTGACCTACTGGTAATTGTATAGTACAATGTATATATATCAGCTACTGGTAATTGTATAGTATATATATCAGCTACTGGTAATTATATAGTATATATATCAGCTACTGGTAATTGTATAGTATATATATAAATAAGCTACTGGTAATTGTATAGTATATATATATATCAGCTACTGGTAATTGTATAGTATATATATCAGCTACTGGTAATTGTATAGTATATATATCAGCTACTGGTAATTGTTTAGTATATATATCTGCTGGTACTGTGTGATGTAATACTATAATATAGGCCTACTGTGTAATTTGGTTGTGTATAAAGGGACAGAGAAGAGCTAGTTATCATTAACAGTATGTGTATATATCAGACGCAGTACCCCACTAAGTTTCTGTCTTCTCTTACAGGAGTGTATCATACTCATCAGTCAAGAAGGACAACTGCTAACAACAAAACAACGTGTAAAGTTATAATTACATAACAACGGAAGCGGATTTATAATCGTCAATTTTGTGAACTTTTTTGTGCCTGTTTAATCAAGATTTAGTGTGCTGCAGGGTTTTGGAAGGTGTGATAGTAATATTTCCTATTCTGTTGTTTTTGTAATATGGAGCATCGTTCTGTGGATTTTACGTAACCTCAACCTGCTACCATTGAGGATTATACGAAAAGAATTGCTAAACGGAAAGAATTGCTTGAGGCGTGTTGAGGTGAGTTCAACCATGCTTATTGAATCATTCTACTCCGAGATGGAAAAAGAAAACATATTTCTTTGTATTTTTTTATGCAATTTATTTGTTACTCAAAGGATTTACCTCACATTTCATCTACGGTTGTTGGTGTGATGTAGTAATGCTATGTCCATCCCAGGTAAGAGTTTATTATATTGTTTATTGGATTGTTTCAGAACGTTTTCAATATGTACCATTATCAAGTACAACAAGGAGTGTGTGAACCATTCTAGCACTGATATCAACCTTTCACATCAGTTTCCAATTCAAACACCTCGATCAAATGTGTAAGATTTATCTAAAGATAACTTTGTGTAATTCCGAACTGCTCATGAAACTTTCCATGCTATGATGTTATAAAGAGATTAAGCACTACTTTACATGTGGAATTTTTATTCCAATTTCTGAAATAGATCTATTGTACCTTTTTACCCTAGAGCTTAAACAGAACGGACAGTTGTAATCTTACAGCAGTATGAATGTGCTAACCCTCCAGAATCTGATTACTAGGGTGTGCCCTACATTTAAAGGTGTGAATGTCAACTGTAGACATCAGAAACAGACAATTCTAATGCCTGTGGCATATGTCACTTACCTGGTTTAAATCACAACTTTAAACATTGTCATTTAAGTATTTTGGAATGAACTGTAAAAGATATACTCTTGGGCATTATAAAGGGTTGGGAGTGTAAAACAGGATAGAGGGTGTAAGGGCTTGAGACTATAAAGATTGGTCGTGTACGTAAGGGCTTGAGACTACAAAGATAGAATGGTGGTGTAAGGGCTTGGGACTATCAAGATTGGTGATTTAAGGGCTTGGGACTATAACGATTGGTGGTGTAAGGGCTTGGGACTATAAAGATAGAATGGTGGTGTAAAGGCTTGGGACTATCAAGATTGGTGATTTAAGGGCTTGGGACTATACCGATTGGTGGTGTAAGGGCTTGGGACTATAAAGATTGGTGGTGTAAGGACTTCGGAATATGGAGATTGGTGATATAAGGGCTTGAGACTATAAAGAACGGTGGTGTAAGGACTTGAGACTATCAAGATTGGTGATATAAGGGCTTGGGACTATAATGATTGGTGGTATAAGGGCTTGGGACTATAAAGATTGGTGGTGTAAGAGGCTGAGACTATAAAGATTGGTGATATAAGGGCTTGAGACTATAAATATTGGTGGTGTAAGGGCTTGAGACTACAAAGATAGATTGGTATAAGGGCTTGAGACTACAAAGATAGATTGGTATAAGGGCTTAAGACTACAAAGATAGATTGGTGGTGTAAGAGCTTGAGACTATACAGGTTGGTGGTGTAAGGGCTTGAGACTATAAAGATTGGTCAAGAAAGGGCTTGAGACTATAAAGATTGGTCAAGAAAGGGCTTGAGACTATAAAGATTGGTGGTGTAAGGGCTTGGGACTATGGAGATTGGTGATATAAGGGCTTGAGACTATAAAAATTGGTGGTGTAAGGGCTTGAGACTACAAAGATTGGTGATATAAGGGCTTGATACTATAAATATTGGTGGTATAAGGGCTTGGGACTAAAAAGATAGATTGGTGGTGTAAGGGCTTGGGACTATAAAGGTTGGTGGTGTAAGGGCTTGAGACTTCAAAGATTGGTGATATAAGGAATTAAGACTATAAAGATTGGTGCTGTAAGGGCCTGAGACTATAAGATTGGTGATATCAGGGCTTGACACTATAAAGATTGCAGGTTTAAGGGCTTCAGACCATAAATATTGGTGGTGTAAGGGCTTGAGACTATAAATATTGGTGGTGTAAGGGCTTGAGACTACAAAAATAGTGTTGTTTTATAAGGGCTTGAGACTATAAAGATTGGTGGTGTAAGGGCTTCAGACCATAAAGATTGGTGATATAAGGGCTTGAGACTATAAATATTGGTGGTGTAAGGACTTGAGACTACAAAGATAGATTGGTATAAGGGCTTGAGACTACAAAGATAGATTGGTATAAGGGCTT